TTTCTAGTTAGGAAGGTTAACCAATTTTAACGCCTTTTGCATCAGGTTTTCATTACTCATAAGAAAAAAAAATTCGATATAAAAATTCAAATAATAAAAGCATGAACAAAAACCTTAGCTGTCAAAGTTAGCTCTCACTCCTGGTGATTCCACTGTGAGTGGAATTTTGTCATTGAGTTTTAACTTGTTTCCTGATTTGTTGTTGAGTTCAAATTTTGTGAACATACTCTTTACTGATGAGCATATAATATGGTGAAACGATTTCACCAAATTTCGATCTATATTTGTTCTTGTTTGGTTTTTAAGCGATTTTTTGTGTCTACCTTCGTTTAACAAACAAATTAAGCATATCAGGATATCACTGTTTGACCATCGAATAGAGTGGCAAAAAAATCTCATCAATGACATTTGTAGGAAAATTGTAATTTAATGTCTGACTTATCGACGAATTTTTGAAAAACCTTCCAATTTTTAGACTAATTGACGTTTTTGATTTTAAAATTTCAACATCAGCTATAAAGTTTTAAAATTTTCACAAATTTTAAAACAAGAGTGATAAAAAATATTACTTGAACGATTTTACACATTTTTTTAAGAGTGTTACAGTCTGAAGCAGACGGGACAAAAACGCTTTTCTCAAGGAAATATTGCTTTCCAGTTTGTCGTCGTGGCGCCCTTTCGAGTAATGATTGAATTGGCGATATTCGTTCTTCCATTTTTAACTTCAAGTAAAATGCTCATTGTACCATTTTTAACTTCAAGTAAAATGCTCATTGTACCATTTTTAACTTCAAGTAAAATGCTCATTGTACCATTTTTAACTTCAAGTAAAATGCTCATTGTACCATTTTTAACTTCAAGTAAAATGCTCATTGTACCATTTTTAACTTCAAGTAAAATGCTCATTGTACCATTGTTATTACATCCAGTTTTCAAAACTGAATATTCAAAGCGATTTATTTATTCTCTGAATAACGTTCAGTTATTTTTCTTTATTTCGTAATTTTCTCATTAGTTATTGCTTGTGTTTTAACAATGACTAAAAATTCTCTAATTGATAACGCGTTACTGAGATTATAAACTGAAAATAAACCACAATTCAAAGAAAGGCTTTTATTTCAATGGGATATTATAAATAAGAAATTCGTTTTTGTTATATGCAACCCTGGTAAGCCAAGTTATGTTTTGGAAGAAAGTTAGCATCTATTCCTTTATTTTTTCGCTCATAGTATGGGGAAGGGAGATAATATGTTTTACTTACCTTTTACAGAACACCAAGTATTCCACATTTTCGGGACTGCCTACATTGATCCGCATACTCAAAACATTAAGAGATTTTGTAAAAGTAATGCAACAAAGAATATCGAGGAATAATGCGACATCTGTTAGATAAATTTTAGTGAATTTATGTGGTGTCGGGTTCATAAGGAAGGGACAGTTTTATGTTACTTTATATTCTATTGTGAATTTTCACAGCCAGAATACCTATCACTAGTTTTATAGAATTGTTTTGTGCCCCCCACCCTTCAAAAAATACATCAGTCGCCGCTTAACGGGTTAGGAATTAATAATGTTGTTATTGAGTTTTTTAAATACCCCAGCCCCCAATTTATACAAAAACATGGGAAATACATCGGTTATTATCACCAAAATTTTGGTTAACTTAATAAAATTATTAAATAATGAAGTTTTTAAATTGAAAAAATGTCGCCAAGATGAAAATCTCAAATATGGCCAAAATGGATTCCAAAAATTGGAAGTGACAGAGAATGGTAGCCAAGTGAGGGTTTGTATAACCAACAGATTGGATTCAATCGTTTAAAATTAGGTGAAAAAGCAGCCACATTTGGAATGTAAGAGTTTGAATAACTTTATCGATTTTGAGGGTGATCAGACACAGGCCCTTCTTGTTCAGAAGAAAAAAAAATTCTGTATATTTTTTTCCTTGTCCCCCCCCCCATGGAAACATGTAAGTCAAACGAATATTGCTTTTTTGCTTGAAAATAAATTTTACGTTGGCATGTTCTGTTCTAGTGAGACATCAATTAGTAATAAGATTAGACGTACACTGTCAATCAAGTAATTTCCAGAAATGTTATGAACAATTCATAAATGAGCCTTTTTCAGAGACATTATGGACAATGCATCAACAAACGTTTGCACTTTCTAAATAAAAGTTCTGTGGAAGCACCAATGTATACGTTTCTAGTTATATTTTCATTAAATCAGTTACATTTTGTTGCTATTTTGAAGGATATTTTTTGTTGACCCCATTAAGCGCTGTCTACTGTAGAAATTTCTTATTTTGAACAACAAATAATCTTTGTGGACCGATAACATTTTAATCATAATTGTGAAGCTGTATAAACATTATGAGTTATAGCCTTTCCTCATCTATCTTAATTTGAATGTATGAAAATCTTGAAATAAATTAGACAAGATTTACCCTTGAAAGCATGAAAACCTTTACCGGAAATATTGAATAACAGGCTATTTTTACTGGCTTAATAATAAAGCAGAATTTTTCTAATGTCTTAAGTTTTCATCCTATAATTAGAATAGTGACAACCTTGATTGATAAGGTTAAATGGAAAGCAAAACGCGGAAATAAATGTCAAACACCAGCTGGAGCTAAAATAGGTCAACTACTTTATGTTTAAAAATAGCAAAATGCTGTTTTATTAATTGATTTTCGTCAGTGAAATGGCAGCTGCTAAACTGATATGCCGGCTAAAGTTTCCAATTAAAAGATAATTATAGATTGGCCTTCAAGCCGAAAAGTCTGAAGTTGGATTTTTAAGTCAACCTTCGGGAATGACCAGCAAGTGACCTTTATTGATAACTAACCGCTTGAATCCCCTGAGGTCTAAAATAGATGTTATAAAAAACGGAAATACATATAGTGATTTCAATTAATTCAGCTAATATAATTTCACGAGCCCAGTGATCTGTCTTACGCTTTCCTAAACGACAAGCAATTGCCGCCTGGAAGATAAACATATTTTATTTCGGACAGTAGCAACACATTTCTTTTAAACCCTTGAGTTTGTTGGTGCAGTTCGAAAGACCAATATATTGCGCTTTGCTGAGTGGCAGCACAGTTCCTTTATTCGCTGATTTTCTGAATAAATTTGAAGTATAATTATCTTACTCTTTATCGAATGGCAACAGAAAACTTAAATTAAAAGTTCACTAAATTCTAACATAATATAAAATACACAAAAACGTATTCTACATGATGAATAACGTGTGTACGCGTGTAGTATAAAATGATTTTTAGAACGTTTTTTTTAGAAAAATGGGAACTATGTATAAATAATATATATTAAGTTAATTTTGCTGTTTTTATAATCTAATGGAAATATTTTTTTTGATTCTCGGGTAGTGACTGGTTTTAATGAAGTCCACATTTTAGTGTTGTGTTTTGTTTATGCGTAGCGTCAAGACCACTGCATTAGCGTAAATACACCTTCTAATATTTTGGCTTTAAAAATTACTTTTTTTATGTACCTTAAACTGACCCTTGTGAAGCTATCCAATTACGCACTTAAATCGGCGTGCTTTGCTTCAAATAAAAGTTATTGAAATCATATAATTTCGGTAATGTGTTTAAAAATTCAGTTTTCCATATAATGGGGCACATTTTCTCCTTTAATTTGCATATAATGGGGCATATTAATCCTCCGGAACCTAATTAGTACAAATATTAAATTTTGGCTTTGTAGAAATAGCCACTGCATTATCGACGTATACGTCCGTCCTAAATCTTCCTATAAAATAACAACCTGGAAGAAGTTTTAAAACAAAGACAGCTTGTGTACTAACAGAAAGACTTCTCTGCTTACGGAATTGAACAGAACACAAAAGTTAAGTTAAAACATCTTCTTGTGGAGTTAATAGAATATAAAAGTTAAGGTAAAACATATGCTTGTAAAATTAATAGAATATTAATATTAAAGTAAAACATCTGCTTGAGTAATTAACAGAATACAACAATTAAATTAAACATTGTGGATTTAACAAAATATAAAAGTTAAAGTAAAATATCTGCTCTTAGAATTAACAGAATATAAAATTTAAAGTAGAATATCTGCTTGAGGAATCAACAGAGTACAAAAGTTAAAACATCTGCTTGTGGATTTAACAAAATATAAAAGTTAAGATTTTACCTGCTCGCGGAATTAAAAGAATATAAAAATTAAAGAAAACACATGCTTGCAAGTTTATTGTAATATAAAAATTAAAGTAAAACATCTGCTTCATGAATTAACAGAGTATAAAAGCAAGCTTATGAGATTTACATGATTAAGGCCACTTTTAAATTTTGATTCAGATCCTCCGCTGATGCGAATAAAATACGGCTAGGGAAGCTGATTGACTCAAGTCAGTTCAGAATTTAGGTAAAAATACTAGCAAAATGGTCAGCGATCACTGCCAAAAGCTCTATCCTAAAATCAAGAAGGCTATTCTGATAGTTGTCGAAGTTCTTTCTCTAAATTTATTCTCATTTGTTTTCTAAACGCCTCACATTTAAATATTATTCTGGTAGATTAGAAGAAGAGTAGAAGTTTAGGAAAAATTTAACCTGAGATATAACGTTTTATATCATAGCATCCTGAGGCGAGCCAATGAAAGTGGAAGTGACAGTAAAGGTAAAATGAGAGGATAAATTATTCATAAATATAAAACAGTATACATGTTCTATTATGAGGGGGAAAATAACAAACTGATGTTTTATTCGCAACGAGTCCGCATAAAAATTTAAAACAAAGTCTATTTTGTAAAACATATCACGTGACAAAAGTTTTTTTAGTGAAAAAGCTGATGTTATTTTATACATTTCTTTAATTGGAAGCTTAATTGCACAACTGAACACTGAAATGAAATCTAATCACTTTATCTTTTCCTTATAAACAGAAAACATGCTTGTGAAGTATTCTTTAGAGCATCTTCAATAAATAATAGTCGCTTCTGTTCATTTTCTACCTTTTTATTTCCAGGAAAAACGCCAAAAAACGGCTACGTGAATGGATGTCTACCTCCTGTTGTGTGGGACAAAAAAATTCCAGACACAGAACTAAATAAATTTAAAAAAGCTGTTGAAGACAAGTACAATTTACATTTTGGTAAGTTATGAAATATTAATTAAAAACTGAACTGAATTATAATAGCCTGAATTTACCGTGAAACATTCATTGGATATTAATTACAGACAGTAAATATTAATCTAAATAGAATGTAAATTTTATTAGCTAGATGAGTTATTGTTTTTCCTAATTAATTTGCTGTTTGGCAAAATAAGTGACAGTCGCATGCTGTAAAGCTACACTCTACAGTCAGATCAACAGACAGAGAAACCGGCATTATTATCCTCTTGTACGACTTTTTATTTCGTCTTAGAGTGTTACAACACAACTGACGTGCAAACAAACAAACGTGCAAAAACAACTTAAAGTTTTTCGTATTTCAATTGTATCTTAGAGTATTCTTGCTAGATTGTTGAGGTGCTTTTCATTCCGTTTCATACTCAGAGTACTATAACTAAAATAAAAAACGTGCAAAAATAATTTAAAGTTCTATTGTTACTTTGTAAGGTATTTTCTCCCTCCTTTCTGCATGTTTTCGTGGCTCAACAGTAGCGCATTCGGTGCGAATTCGAGAGATTCAGGTTCGAGTCCCGGTGAGAACATTGCTCATTTTTCACATCTTCTGCTTAAAATAACCTAATTAGTCTACAAAGCCGCCCAAACTAAAAAGGTGGTGGATGATAATTCTTCACCACCAGGATTTGGCGACTGGGTGAACTAATCCCCAGTCGCCCTTTAACTCTCCAAGCGTTTCGAGTTTAGCCCTGAAATTTTAAAGTTCTTCAAAATGTCATGAATAAGTGGTATTTTCTTGATTTTAATTAAAAAATGAATTTCTCATTTTGTACCTTGATTCCTTTTTTTCCAATATACATCCAAACCGAAATCAAATACATTAAAAGCTAGCAGAAATTTTCATTTGTAATGCGAGGTGTAACGGTTAATACACTCGACACGTATTTGAGAGTTCCAGGTTCGAGTTCCGGCAAGGGCATTGCTCAGTTTTATGTTTCTACTTTCAAAAGAAAAAAAATCTTAATGCCTCTACAACTTCATATCTACTTTACTTTGCTAGACTACTGAGTCACATTTCATCGCGTTTTATCTTCCAACCAAACAAGTACGGCAACCAACACAATGAAACATCTACTATTCAAAACTTTATGTTATTTCGAACTTTGCTAGAACACTGAAAGGCTTTTCATCCCGTTTTAACTTACAACCAAACAACTACGGCAACCAAAACAATCAGATATGAAACAACCTTAAAACTTTATGCTATTTCGAACCTTGTTGTTGGGCGACTTTTCATCTCGTTTTAACTTAAGAGTACTAAAACCAAACCAAACAAACATGTAAAAACAACTTCAAGTTTTACGCTGTTTCAAACCTTGTTAGACTGTTCAATGACTTTTCATTCCCTATTAACTTAGGGTACTACAGCCAAAGCAAACAAATGAGTAAAACAAGATTAAAGCTTTATTGTTACTTCAGTTGTATTTTATTGTAACCTTGCTAGATCGTTGACCGACGTTCCATCCCATTTTATCTTAAAGTGCAACAAACAAATCAACAAACAAACGTGTTAAAGCAACTTCAAGTTTTATGTTACTTTGAACCGTGCTAGACTGCTCTGTGACTTTACAGCTAAAGAGACAAATAAATATATAGATAAAGATAACAATGAAATAAACTTCCACTGCTTGGGCTTTGTTATTAAATAAAAAATTGTTATTTGTTATTAAATGAAAATATTTTATTTCGAGTACTGGTAAATTATTGTTTTTAAAACTGAAGTCTCTCGATCAAAAATGATTAAATTGGCATAACATGAATTAAATTGGCATAAATAAAAATGTTTGGAATTTAAATTTCGGGCTTTGAGGCGCACATATTCGGGTGATGTATTTAGTGTACTCAATATTTGATGGTCCTAGGTGAGGTAGCTTTTCTGCAATTCAAGAAACATACATAAAGATTCTTCATTCTTTAGTAATATAGATTATAAAAAATATTAGAGGTTTCGAAATTGCAGTGTTGTTCAATTGTAGAGACATTAGGTATTTTCTAGAAGCAGGCAAGATGAAAAAATAGCAAACGCCTTCGTCGAAAATCAAACCACGGACATCTGGAATACCGGCCCAGCGCGCAGAACCACTACACCCCGAAGGCGCGCTAGGAAGGCGGGAGAAATACCTTATATACTCCCCCCCCTTTTAAAGGGCGACTGGGGTTTTTAGGGTACCCAATCGCCAAATCCTGGGTGTGGAGAGTCATCATTTACAGCCCTTTTAGTTTGAGCGCCACTGTAGAGACATTAAGATATTTTTTGGAAAAGCCGAAGAGATGAAAAATTAGCAACCGCCTTCCCCGGGAATCGAACCACGGACCTGTGGAATACCAACCCAGCGTGCAGAACCACTATACCACAAAGGCACGCTAGGAATGCGGGACCTTATACAATATGCAATAGATATGATAATTCTAAGCAAATATAAATCAGATACATCAGTCGAAAAGGATTATCTTAAATAAAATAAACTAAATTCTACGTTCTAGAGCAGCAGTCGTCAACCCTTAGAACTTCATGGACCACTACATACATAATTTTATATTTGGCGCACCACTAATATGAATTATAAAACACTTAAATCAGACCTTAAAAAAACTTATTAATACGCAAAAACAATATTCAACTTTACAGAACATGTAATTCGAATTTTCATTTACTAATATAATTTTCGTAACATTCGGTGTTCAGCAGCACGCTTTAAGGAAATTCAGGGTATGCTCCTAATTATGAGTAACAATTAAAACACTATTATCATCTCACTGATACACATATTTCGTTCATATTGAAAAGTACAAAAATCTTACCTTCTTGTACAGAAAGCTTTACATTTCCATATCACTGAACTTCACAAGAAGCAAGAACAAATCGGCAAACGCAAAGCAATATCAATAAACTGAAAGCGTTAAGCTGCCAATTTTTAATTATTGTAAACATAATAATCATTGAGCAACATAATAATCATTAACTCAGCAATGAAGCCATCAATCAACAGTCAGATAAAACAAAAACGGAAACTTTCAGTGGTGCAATTATAAACAAGAATGCAGATGGTTCTCATAAAATTCCACCAAGTTGCCTATTGACACGAAGAAAAACTGTATTATTAACGACTAAAATAGCATATGTTTGTAATTAAAAATGAAAGAGAATCTCAGTTCGCACTATTATTGATAACAGCAACATATCCATGGATGCCAACTCTCACTTTTAAGTGTCGCTAGATACGCCTGCAAAAGTAGCTAAAATCGCTATATTCAGAAAGAATTTCGTTAAAAGTTGTAGCTAAAATAATAAAAAAATACAATCCATATTCCATAATAGGTTTCGTTATTCGTCATTTTTCAAATTGAATCTTCAAAAAATATAAATAATGTCCCAACTTTTCTGCGGACCATCCAAAAGGTTTCACGGACCACCAGTGGTCCGTGGTCGGCGACTGCTGTTCTAGAGTGTTATTGGTGAATAACAACGGGTCATGCTGGATAGTCTTTTGTGTTTAAAACATCAAGTTGTTTACAGTATCGTCCTAGTAGGAGAACAGAAAAATAGTTTATTTACCACTAGTGGTCATCAGTTATCCGTGAACCACATCTAGAGTGTTATTGGTGAATGACAACGGGTCATGTTGGATAGTCTTTTGTGTTTAAAACAGCAAGTTGCTTACAGTATCGTCCGAGTAGGAGTACAGAAAATAATGTATTTACCACTGGTGGTTCATGGACAACTAGTGATTACCACGGATCACCAGATTTTATTATTTTCTGCAGAAAATAATTTATTTACCACTGGTAGTCACCAGTGGTCCGTGGACCACCGGTTGGCGACCGCTGTTCTAGAGTGTTATTGGTGAATAACAATGGGCCATGTTGGATACTCTTTTGTGTTTAAACAGCAAGTTGTTTACAGTATCGTCCGAGTAGGAGTGCAGAAAATAATTTTATTTTGTGATACCATGACTTCATCATCATTGTTAATTTAACATATGATAACTAGAAACATCCGAATACGTCTTAAATTTTAGAATTTCGTAAAATTGAAATCCTCTTTCGAATTATCATATATATGTAAAAGTGAAAAGATAAAAAGCTTTATTATTTTAACATAAACTCAATCACAAATTTTTCTGAAACAGGATTAAAAAACATAAAGCTATTTGAAGAATCTTCTATAAGTACAAGGTATAGATTTTTTCCTTTAAATTTATAAAGAAGAGGACGTCCATATTTTAATGCCGGCAATCTATGCTTATGTAGCATAACTGTTTCAAAATATTAAAATATTCATTATGCTTTAATCAGTTAGAAAATTTTCTCTCTGTAAATATAAATTCTTTATTAGTTGATAAAGAAATTTCAGGCTTTTTAAAATAACTTTGGGGTATTGTTGTAAAACAAGAAGCTTATTATTTTGGTGATTTCCTATTATAGTTGAACCGAGTTTCTTGTAAAATTTGTAGGTGGTTGCTTGAAAGTATTTTTAAGCACCTATCTGTAATTATGTTTGGCAATTAGGCGAATTTCTGTAGCGTCGAAAAACAAATTCGTTCGTATGGGTGTATTGCTTAGATATCCGACAGGTATAGGTACAAGCAATGGTATTGGGGACAGCAAACGATGTAGTATGGGCCAGCTGGTAATGCCTTTCATACTAATTCTTTAAAAAAAGAAACTGATGCTTGCTTTATAAAAATTTACAAAGTAAGGTTGAGAAAATGGGCAAATGAAACTTTCCAAATGATCTATAGTTCACCTATTATGGTACATCGTGCAATTCCACCATACGCTCCGCATCCAGTATATAATAAAAATAATGATCTAGGATATAGAGAGATTTTAATATAGTCTCAATGCAATATGAAATTCACAAATTAAATTGAACATCTGTTTTGGTGTAAGAGAAAAACATAATTAGTATAGAGACAAACATAATGAGATAAATATAATAAATATTACGGAGCACAATGTTCTAATGAACTGTAATAATAATAATAAGGGGGTAAGTGCCCAAGGGGTTATTTCACTTATAAAAGGTTGTTTCAATTTATAATGTTCACAAGTTGAGTCATTTTGTACATATTGTAGAAATTCGGCAAGAAAATCTTTTTTTTTTAATTTGTTTTTTAAATGTACAACACTTAACACTCTATCAGGAATTCTAAAGCTGCACTGTTTTCAAATATTTTGTGATTTTGCTATTGGGGTTTATGTGGTGTAAGTGCAAAAAAAGTGATATTTAATAAATAAAGACAAAAAGACAAAATGTTCTTAGTAAAAAAACAAGAAAATGTTGTGTAAAACTTCTTAATATGAAACCTGAACACTGATAGGATAAACTGAAAACATTAAAAAAATTAATGACAATACTTGTCACTCTATTTTGAATTCTAAACCTATGCCAATTTTTAAAAAATTGTGATTTTTGCCGTTGAATTTTATGCGGTGTGTGTGACGAAAGTGGTGTTTAGTAATAAACTTAAAAAGACAAAATGCGCTGCATAGGTCATCTTGTTAAGAAAACTAAACACTGATATGATGAACTGAGAAAAGACTAAAAAATGAGGAAATGTACGGGAAATTTTTACACTCTTCAAGGATTGTATAAATATATTATTTCTAAAAATTTTATGATTTTACTCCTGAATGTTATTTATGTAAATGCAGGTGATATTTAGTAATAAAGTCAAAACGGCGAAATAAGTTAAGGAGCGCGTACAAAAATACGTTAGTAAATTGCATGCTCAGTGATAGCATAAAAAAAACCTTAATAAATGCTCTGATGCAATGTTTATTTATTATCTGTATTCTTCCACATTTTCTTTCTTTCCTTATTTTTGTCGCCATTTATATTGCAGAAATAATTTCATTTGTGTATTTCGAGGAATGATATGTTTTGTAAAGTTTCAAGAGTTAATGTGGTATAAAATTTCTTCTGCAGATTCTTACTGGGACTTCCAAAGGTGGTCCGTAGAAAAATATGAAAATTTCTGGGAAGAAATTTGGAATTATTTCGGAGTCATCACATCCAAACCTTATGATAAGGTATTGATTTTATTTTTCATTTTTAGACTTGATAAATATAGAATACATTTTAACGTATAAAAAATAGAGAAAACTAGCAAATAAACTTAAAAAAAACATCATCTCCTTCTCTTACCTTTAAACATAAAAAAAATCCTTGATTCTCAAACAAATTTAACAAATTTACGATATAAGAACAAGCGCACAGCTACAGAAATAAATTTTTCACACGGTCAGGACAATTTACAACGTAATGTATACAAATAGCATATACTACGTGTACATACTGTTTACACATACTGCATTGCAGTTTAAATTGATCTGCTCTTTAATTTTGCTCTTGTGTAACAGGAAATTTGGCAATTCAACTTAGTTTTCAGTGTGTTTTAATAGGCCTTACTCCTACAGCTTCCCCCAATAGTACCTTTATTAATGTTTTTACTTCCTTGTACGAAGTAAAGGAAGTATTCTAATCGCGAGAAATGTCCGATAACATACTTTGACGAAAATATCCATTTTGATAGTTTCCGAATCTATTTTAGCTATATTTTTAGTGTCATCTCTACATATGGACAGAGTAAAGAACTCTGGTTTTCAAAACGGACTGTAAAATGAATCCAAGACAGATTTCTTTGTGACATTTGTACATACGTATATACATATGCATCTCGCATAACTCAAAACCGATTAGCCGTAGAACGGGGAAATTTTATATATGAACAGGTATAATATTTAGCTGTACATATGCTTTTTGTATTGAAATCGATAGTAATAAAAGTGTTTACATATACCCCCCCCTTTTACTCAGCTTAAAGTCCTTATCAGGCCTTTAGTTTCGCAATCATTCATTGGTCGTAGTCATATACTTCCAATTACAGAAGTATCTTAAATGACGATTACACTCCTGTTTTGCCAATGTCAAATTTGAACAAAAAATTTAGACAAATAATGAAGTCTAACTTTTAACGCTGTCTCCCGGTTCCGATGCTTATAGCTGGGAAATTTATGTACTCTTTATGAAAAAATAAATTTACAAGAAGTTTGACACACTACGCTAAAAATTGAGCTGTATATTTAATTTCAAAATTTGCAATATTTGTTGTCATTTTCATCTTTCTAGTGTCCTTTTTCAATTGTCGTTTTGAAAGATTCCATAAAACCTGTTTCCTACACTGAACTGACAATAAAATTCTACAACAAAAAAACTAAAAACATTTTTGAAATTTTAAAAATTTGAACTCGTTTTCAATATGGGAGAATACGTCTTTTCTTTTCTAAATTAGGAATCGAGCTTCTCTAGTTTGCATCGAACATGGTTGAACTCAAATAAGCTCCTTTTTGACAAATCAGACTCAGTAAAGTGAATCAGTTCGTTAACGAATAACATACCTCTGTTCTAGCGGGCTTCCAACAAGACCTCTTCATAAACTGTAAAAGAGCTTCCACCCCGTTTCCTGGAAAATCAGCATAGATTCCCTCAGTAAGGTTCATCGATTCTTTGAATGAGTTCCGGAACAATATTTTCTGTGATGTGCAAAGAAGAACAGAATTTGATACTACGTTACAGCCACGTGTAGCAATTAAAGGATTTCAATTGAGGAGGAAGGAGTTTTGCACTTTTTAAAGAACGGATAATGCAGTTTCAAAAGATCAAAAACAGATGGAGAGTACTGACAGACTGTTACAAACTTTCATTAGGTACGCCACAACGTTACAGATGTAGGCTGGTATGTTTCCTACAAATTACTATCTGTGCTTCCCCCTCCCACAGAAATCATAATTAGCTTTTGTTCATCGGTTCTGTAGGCATATTGCTCCCATTATTGTCATATATATGGTGTAAAGGCAGATATAAGATGTAATGGATTTGCAGCATATATAAGATTATGACACCAAAAAAATTATTACTTGATGCTTTTGATAGTCATGTTATTAACGTTCAAAGAATGTAAGTGTTAATTCAGGATAGTCTGCATATGCTAGATAAGTATTTATATGTAATAAATAGGTTAAAAGCTGACTATCATTAGGCTTACCATAAAATGTTTTTCTCAAACCGGAAGCATAGAATAAAACCTATCTAAAAATGAAAAATCTAAATAAGCAATTTGTTTGCAACCTCGAGTTAAAAGAAATTTCTACATCCTTGTACAAAGTAAAGGAAGTATTGTAATGGACAACACTTCGGTTATCAGAGTTGAATGGAAGTACTGATTTTGACTACTCCAGAACCGGTTTTTACTGTAGTTCCATCTATACGTATGGACAGAATAAAGAACTCTCTTTCAAAACGGGTTGTAAAATGGATGGGAAATGATTTTTTTCCGTTTATACGTACGTAAGTATGTATGTATCCCGCATAACTCAAAAACGATTAGCCGTAGAACTCTGAAATTTTATATATGGTACTTTCACAACATCCAGTCGTGCATTTCCGTCTTTTAATGCAACCCAGTAACGAAAATAGGATTAAGGACTGTAAACCGGGTAAGGGGTGTGTGTATTGTAAATGCTCACTCCTACCCGGATTAAAGTCCTTACGCTGCTTTGATTTTCGCAATCGTTGGTCATAGTCATATATACCTTTTTCCAATTACTGAAGTGTTTTCAATGACAGAAGCATTCATTTTTGGTAAAATCAAATTTAAAAAAATTTAATTTTGCACAAATAATGAAATTGAACACTTAATGTGGTCTCATGGTTCCTATACTTATATATTTCGCAAAGTTTCTCGTTATGGAAAAAAAAAAAAAAAGAAAGAAAGAAAGAATTATGACTGTCAGTAAAAATTGACCAGTTTATTTAATTTCAAAATTTTCTATTGGTAATATCATTTTCAACTTGCCTTGAGGAATAAATTAAGTAGGTTACAATAATTCAAGGAAATAAGTTTAAATGAAGTACAGCAAGAAATATATAAAATTGAATTAGCTCTCGAAGGAAGTCATCTGGGGTCCAAAAATAGAATTTTTTTTCAACTAAACTTATGTTATCATTAAAACGTTATTGCTATATATCACTAGTGTAAAAACTGTTTTTCCATAGCCCTATGTAAGAAAGGAATCTGTCATCATTTCGGACGAAAATAACAAAAATGACAAACTGCTCGAGTGATATCTCTGACTGCAATATTTTTCCAGAAGACTTCTGATCAAAGCTGAACATCTGAAAAGCTTACTTGCTATTACGCTTACTTTCTCATTTAGCTTAAGTTATTTAAGCTGAAAAAGCTTCCTTTTATGTTATAATTTAAAATTATTTTTAACCTTTATTACAAATGCTTGCTTTTATCTGAATGAATTATTCATAACAAAAATCTGAATTTTAACTTTATATATATAAATTTTGGAAGTCATTATTTTAAACTAATGTTATTAGAGATAATATTAAAGGTGAGATTATATTTCTGATATATTTTCATCAGATTGAGTATTCTTGTCCTTCCAACTATTATCTTTTCCAGGTCGTGGTTAAGACAGGAGATGGTTTCCTGGATTATGAATGGTTTCCTGGTGCGCGATTTAATTATGCTGAAAATCTCTTGAGAATAAGAGATGACAGAGTAGCTCTCATTTATTACGGTAATATTTTTAGCTTCAGTAATTTTAAAGTACGTATTTGGTGCATTAAACATTTTGTTCATAAATAAAACTGCAAAATTTTAAATGCTTATGTTGTAGAACGTGAAGAAAAACTCCAAGGGGAGTCAAGGGAAATTTACTTTAACTGTACGTTGGTAGCTTGAGGATAACTTTAGAAAAGTTGTAAAGATTATTTTAATTTTCTAATATTTAAGTTTGAAACCCTTTCCTTTAACTTCTTGTTTTCCGCCTACAACGTCCTACCAGAATGAGATTTCAGTATCGCATTCTATGTAAACGAAGTAGAACCAATGTTTAATAGGAAGTTCAATAGCTTCCATAGAAAAGCACGGCTACATTAACAGTCTAATGTACTAACAGATAGATGTAGATATATTAACATACTAAATTGTGAGAAAACCAGAGAACGACTTTATAATTTTTTTTCAAAAGCTATCGTATACTCTACTTCATTAAAATCTTAGCTTATCTCATTCTTAAACTAAATTTCCTTTCAAACCTCCGTGTTTTAGATGAAACTGGATATGAAGAGACAGTCACATTTGCAGAGCTGTTCGAAGAAGTTAAGCTCTACTCGGCAGCCTTTCGAAAACATGGCTTACAAATAGGAGACACAGTGGCTTGTAAGTAGAAGATCAAAATAAAATGCATATAATTAATTAGAAAAGTAGAGTGTATATTCTTTACCTGGAAGTTTAAATATTTATATACAATAATTATACAGGGTGTACCGAAAATGTTGAGTTAATTTTCTAGGGGAGGTAGGTCACATCATAAGGATTAAGAATTGCATAGGAACCCATGCCCAGAAATGTCAGGAGTAAGTGGTAGCAGAGGCAGAAGAAGGGAAAAGAAGCAAGAGTGATTCATTTGAAACATTTATTGGACGTGAATACAAATGGTGTACGGCGGCTTGAATGTTGCATCAGGTGCTCGAAGTCTGCACCATCAGACGCAAAACCTGTCTGAAACCGACGGTCCATTTATTGCCGGACATGTTCAAACACACCGGGAGTTTCTTTGATTGTAGCAGCTGCACAATAAGTCATGCCACGAGATCCATTTCAGACACAACAAGATCGTGAACACGACGCTTTTGATGGCTTCCCACAAAAAGAAATCAAGGCTTGATAAATCCGGTGAGCATCGCGGCCAGGAAGCTGGTCCACCACGCCAGATCCATCGATGTGGGAATGATCTGTTCAAATGGCTACGAACATCCAGCCACGAAATCAGCAGTTGCCCCATTATGTTGGAATCACATGTTGCGCTTCACATTAATTGGAACATCGTTTCGAGCAAATCGGGACGAACCTGCTCCAGAAAGATCAAATAATTCGCGGCATTCAAATGGTACGGTGTCAGGCACGTTTGGCATCTGATGGTGCAAATTTCGAGCATCTGTTGCAACATTCAAGCTGTCAAACACCATTTGTATTCATGTACAATAAATGTTTCAAATTAATCACTCTTGGTTCTTTTCCCTTTTTCTACCTCTGCTACTATTTACCCCTGACGTTTCCGGGCATGTGTTCCTATGCAACTCTTAATTTTTATGATATTGTTGCGTGCGTACGGGTTCGTTATGAAATGAATGCACAAGTCCGATGAAAAATGAACAAAAATTATTATTATCACAGAAATGCTTAATTTTCTCAAATTATCATGCAGTATTACAATATCTCGCAGTAGTTTTCTTTTAACTACTCAAATGTCAATAGAACGTCATTCAAAACAGCTAAACGCTAATCCGCGAATTCGCTACAATCAACAAGAGCAGTTTTCTAAACAACAACAAACTAAGCAACTACTCCAAACTGAGATGTTTTCCTCCTTTTATAAGATTTTAAAATCACGCGCGCTAGAATTTTCCAGCACTTTCTCGAAATCAAAAAGAGATATTTATTTATTTAACGCACGCGCTCTTGTATTTTTAATTTTTCCGGGCTTAGCTTTCTTTTAATATTCGTCACGCGCTGCACTGCGCGAGAATAAAACCATTTATTTTATAATTGTAAACTAACATTAGCTTTTTAAATACCAAATTCGTAACACTGCCCCCTTCCCCCAAGGACTGCACGTCCCCGGGCAGTACAATCCCTGGACAGGAAGCTAAACTTACAACTGTGGCATAAATGCAACTGAGGCATAAACATTACATTACAATATCAACCAATTATAACAATAAATGCAATAACAACTTAAACAAATCAATGCTATCAAATACTAAATACAAAACAAATAAATACACTTTGAAAACAAAAAGGACCATGGTCTTATACTATTTACAATTATTTACATTACGACTATGGCCATAGTAATGAGCTAACCTGTCGTAAATGAACGACTTTAGGTTTTAGAGTTCGAAGACTTACGGATCATGACGTCATTAAGTCTGTTCAGGACTATATATGGACCATCCGAGGGTGACTGTAATTTAGGACTGAGTTCTTTTCGTTGAATCGGGTTCCACAGCCACACCTTGTCTCCTTTGTTGGATCTATGTCTAGTAGCTCTCGTGTTGTATCTGGACTTCACTTTCTCCGTCGCCAGGTTGACTCGCTTTCGTGCGGAACGGTGCATCACTTCAAAACGGGCCTTGACATCTTGGATGTGTTCCTCAGGCGATGAAGGTGCATCCGTATGGCAATCAAACAGCGTATGGCAATCAAACGTCTGTGATGGAGAATAGCTGGTAGTCTTGCGTTTCTTTTCGACCCTAGCATGATTTCGGCAGTTTCTCGAGCTGGTTCTTTCGGACAAACTCGGCAATTCCCAGGTGAGGATCCCTTCTTAGGATGGATAGTCATGTCTTCAGATCTGAAAGCAGCTTGTTGTTTTTGAAGTCGAAGGAAAATTGTATTTTCCTTAAAAGTCCAATCCGAGTATGCATGGATCTGTAATATCCCCACATATGCCGTGTGATGGTAGGCGAACTTCCAAACGTGATGTTTTTAACTTTCCGTTATGTCGATCTTGTCACCAGACGCAGTCTGAAAGGTAACACAGGATGGCGTCCAAATAAGTTTATCTTTAAACTGTTCAGCTAAATCTTTCCTAATGATGGTAACATTAGCTCCTGTGTCAATGATCATATTGCAAGGAACTCCATCGATATTCCCATTGATGGACAGTCCGTTATTGTTTCCACTCACTATAGAGATCTTGAGCGCTTTAAAACAGGGTTTTTCATTATCTGGCAACCTCCGTTCCTTGATATGGTCATTAATTTGTTTCCTGTGTTGTTGCTCAGAAATTGTTTCAATTTTCGTACCCTGGGGTGTTCTGCAATTCTTTGGTACGTGGCCTTCAGCTCCACAGTTCCAGCACTTTACTTTGTTGTCACTCCTTTTCTGTCCCATGGCATTTAATTGTCTGTTTAAGCCGCCTCTCTTATTTTCCGTGCTCTGGGGTGTTCTGCAGTTCCTTCGTATGTGGCCTTCAACACCGCAGTTCCAGCACTTTAAGTTTGGTTTCTTCTCACCAGTATTCCGTCTCAAGGCATTCACTGGTCTTATCAAATCATCCATTTTATTATCATTTGCCCGGGGTGTTCTGCAATGCCGTCGTATATGCCCTTCAATACCACATTTCCAACACCTTAGAGCCACTTTGTTCTCACTCCTACTGCGTATCAAATCGTCGACTTTCTGGATAAATCATCTAACGAGCCATCAATCCGCTGGCTCGTGGACTCGCACACTCTGACTTGGTAGGCGATCTCTACGAGTTGCTTGCTGGGCTGCCTCGAATTTCATGGGCGTACACTAACGCTTTTCAGACATTAACATCCGCCATTCGCAGTGCTTTCTGTATTTCAGGTCCCGGATGCCATCGATAAGTACTGCATGACAGGATTTCCCTCGTTTCTGGGCACTCCGAAAAGGCGGTGATGTGACAGCCTTTCAACATCGTGCGAGCTCCTGAAGTGTTCGGAGTTTCTGTTGACGGGATTTTAAATTGGGCCTGCTGTAGTCTTTAAAACATTTCTCCCCGAACGCAGCTCCAAGGCGCCGGACAGAGCTCGAAATCTAACCTTTTGTTTTCGGGAAGAGTCTGAAGGATATCCCTGCGTCGGCTCTTAAAGAAGCGGCGAGATGACAGCCTTAGCTTGGGAATCCATCCATTCGCATCCGCACGATAGAAATTGTCTCTTATCCCCTGCCAGAGGTCTTCCATATTCGATACTTCAGAGGGACGAGCAGGCATGGGTAGAAATTTTAAACCATCGAAGGCTCCCTGCCGTCGCTACGAATTCTTTAAAGTGTCCTTTCTTTGGCGCGACGAGAAATTTCTGTCTTCGATTTGTTGTTCAATATGTCCTTGGACGGCAGAAACTCTTTCTTCAATTTGGTTTGGAAGGCCGAACTCTTCCTTCACTTGTCGCTCCACAGCCGACACTCTAATTCTATTTCATCTTGCGAGAAACCTTTTCTTCAATTTGCCCAACTTTATTTTCAACCAATCTATTACCTTCCATAGCATCGAATGGTTCTATATGCAGGCAATTTTCTTTTTATTTGTATTGACTTTCTTCAATCTTTACTTGTACGGCTTTTATTTCGTCTTAAAAGTTAATTGACCAGCTTGAATGGCCTTCATCTCTTCTTAAAACGGATTCTTGGCCCAATTCATCTCGCCTTAATTTCTTTAACGGAGTTGACGGCTCTTCCATCTTTTCTTGGAAAGCAGAAATGCAGTCATTCATTTGCCTGAATTGTTCTTCCATCGCTCTTGTTATTGGCTCAAATCCCACTTCTGACACCCAAAAATTGTTGCGTGCGTCGGGGTTTTGAAAAATGCACAATTCCTATGAAAATGAACAAAAATTATATTATGACCAAAAAAATGCTTAATTTTCTCAAAATCATGCAGTTTACAATATCTCACAGTAGTATCTTTTAACTACTCAATGTCCAATAGAACGTCATTCAAAACCGACGCTAATCCGCGAATCGCTCAATCAACAGACATTTTCTAAACACACAAATAAGCACTACTACAAATGAGATGTTTTCCTCCTTTTATAAGATTTTAAAATCACGCGCTAGAATTTCCAGCACTTTCTCGAATCAAAAAAGAGATATTATTTATTTAAAGGCACGCGCTCTTGTATTTTAATTTTCCGGCTTAGCTTTCTTTTAATTTCGTCACGCGCTGCACTGCGCGAGAATAAACCATTAATTTATAATTGACTATTTAGCTTTTTAAATACCAAATTCGTAACAATATGTTCTACCTTCCTAGAACTTTGTCACAACATTTACGGTACACCTTACATTTGTTTGAAGCAGGGTTTACCAACTCTTTTCTTCTAACGATCCCTTTTAAAAGAATGGTTTTCTTTACCGGCCTTCTTATATTTTCTTGAATAATGCATGTCATACTACATATAATACATACATACATACATGCACAATAATGTAAATAATTGGGCACCAGTAACTTAAAACATAACAGTTAGACGCAGAATATGAAAAAAAGTTTTAAAAAATAGTTTATTGGATTTATGTTTTATAATTTTTGGTATTATCTTGCAAATACAAGCAATTGGAGATATAAAGAACAATTTAGAAAAAATTAATTGTTTATCTCCCTAAATGTGATTTTGAAAGCAGTGAAGATAAGCAGGGAAAAAATAAGAACGGAAAAAAATCACTACTACATGATTTATTTGCCATCCCCCTATATTTCGTCAAAATAAGTCTGTCCAAGTTGCTCTTGCGTGTTTGTCCTCATGTTCGCGGCACACGCGGTTAAACTGCACCAACCTTCAGACTTTCGAAGAAAATACATATAAATTAGAGTTCTTCCTCTGTGTTAATATTATTATTATTGTTTAAGTATGTTTTGATAAGAAATATAATTTAAAATTTAGTTAAATATTTTGTAAAAAAAGTGCTCTGTTCTGTCAGCTACTCTCATATCGAGCATTCGGCCCGAATGCAATTTATTAGTTAATGTTTAAAGTTTTACGTGTTCTTTTCTGAGTTTACCAAAGAATCTTTTAATTAATACCGTAATTTTCAGTACCTTAGTTAAGTTACTATAGTTACTCATATCTAAAATAAATGTTTACAGGTGGGGTGTGTTTAAAGTTAGAGATAAATTCAAAGAATTACACAATGTAACCGATAGAAATTTCGTGTATTTACCAACTTATAGACTTCCGACGGAAATACATAAAAACTGGAGTTTTCCCTTTGTGTTATTATTATTATTGTTTATGTATATTTTGATTAGTATTTAAGAAGTAAAATTTTAAATTAAATGAAATATTCTCTTGAGTTGTTAAAGGCATCTTTAGATTTTGTAACTGAAATATTCTGTCCCTTCTACTTCCTTCAGATCGAGCGTTCGATCCGCATGAAATTTGAGTTTGAGGCTACTAGTTTTGAGGTTAAGTACAAATTGTTATGTGCAAGCAAACTAAAATATTTCAGGGTCTAGAAATACAAGATCTTTCCAGAAAGCAAAGAGACTGATTACATAAAATTCGTTTATTTGAAGATTATTTTATAGACACTTAATATTCTCCAAAATAGCCTCTTCCTGCATTTAATTCACCTTTGCTAACGACTCTGCCACCCATTAATGACTGCCTGGCACTACGTCTTCAACCGGAGTGCTTTTTAGGACGAAAGCTACGTTTTCTTACAAATTCTTCAGATTGTCAAAACGATGAACATTTTAGCTGGATTTTTTCCAAGGGAATAGAAAAAAAGTCCGATGGTGGCAGTTTGGGGCTGTACGTTTGTTGAGCAGTACTGCGATATTGTGTTTGCAAGAAATTGAGTCACTTCGAAGGATGCGTGGACCGGTGCTTTATGGTGGTGCAGAATCGAATTGCTTGTGAATTGCGGACGGACGCACGGGATTCCATTCCTTAAACTTTAAAGCACTTCCTTGTAAAAATAGTGCATTAACTACCTGTCCGAGTGGCACTAAGTCTTAATGCACTATTCATTTGGTGTCAAATAAGGCAGTGAGCGTGGGTTTTCAGTTTTTATTTGCTCACTCGAAGTTTCCATTAACGAGGGGATTGGGGCGTGTGCCACTATTCACTCTGTATCTTTGTTTCGGCATCATACTGAAAATCCCATGTTTGGTCAATGGTAATCGCTCGCTTCAAAAACTTAAGGTCACTTGTTACACAATCCAAAAATTTACGTGAAATTCGACTCACGGTTTTCTTTCTGTCTGTTGGTGAAAGTTCTTGGAACCACATTTGGCACTAATTTTCCGCATATGAAGTTCTTCCCTGACGATTTGATGCACAATCGATTTTGTAAGAACCAATGTTTCCGCAATTATTTGGACACTCATTCGATGATCAAAATTTACTCTGATCGTGGGATGAACGCTTTAATTTTAACCAAACTGCCAAACGTTGGAAAACTTAACGGACGTCCTGTTCGTTATTCGTCATAGACGTTCTCTCTTTCGTCTTTGGAGACTTTGTGCTAACTAAACACTTAGCCTGAGACAAAGAATCCTTCCTATAGGCTTCTTCTACTTATGGGTAAGAATCTCAGTAGCCGTTTTGTTTAGTTTTGCACAAAACTTTATGGCATATTGTTGCTTGACATTCCTTTATATTCTGAAAACATAACGCCACTTTCAAACGCGTGTTTGCTTCACGAGCACTGCATAGGCTTAGGGCCAAATGACTTCCACCAGACTCTGTAGATGACAGTTCCCACCACTCGTACCACTCGAAACCTCCGCTCCTTTGGTCTTCTACTTGGTGCAAAATATTCACTCTCATTACTTTCTGGACAGACCCTGTATATTACAAACATTAACGTAATAAACTGTATTTCGAAATATTCTTATAATCGAAATTTTTATCATTTTGAGAAGAAAAGCATATAAGCAATACTTTGTACCTTATTTTAATATTAAGATAGCATAAAAACTGCATATTCTTTACAGATTTGAAAGCTGCAATTTATCCTACGTTGTTAACCGCTCCAAAGGTCAAACATAAGCCAAAGCACCAAATGTAGTAGCCTGTTTAATCATGGTATTTTTTTGGCAAAGCACACTAGGCTCTGCTAAGAGGAGGGTGCCTTTCGTGGATGACTTTCTAAGGGAAACTGGCTCGATACACGTACCATGGGAAAACCACGAAAACACCCATGCAGCAGCCCGTTCTCGGGATTCGAACCTCGGACCGAACTCCAGGTTCAGCGACTTTCCGCGCGGGCCCTGTTAATCATGAATAATTGGGCAATATTTTATTTGCTATACGGCTATCCGCTTTCGTTTAAAAACCAATTGAGTGTTGCAAAAATTATCTTTATAGGTATTGTACTGTATGTTACATTACTATAATCACAAATTTGCTTTTTTTCTCATCAAATTTTAAGCATCGTTAAGTTTGGCGCCTTCTACATAGATTTCGCGCCAACGCTTATATTTAGCGTAAAGTGGAACCCAGTTAACAGAAAATTACTCCCGATCGATCCTCTTTTAAAAACTGTGAAACATCTTTGCAGGTTACATGTCAAACAGAAAGGAAGCGATTTTTGCCATGCTAGCAACCACAAGTATCGGCGCTATATGGGGTGGACCGACGCCTTACTATGGATCAAGGGTAAGTAACGTTTTGAAATAAAATGGTTTGACTTGGAAATAAGTGAGTTATTGTTTTGATTTTAAAGTTTCTACATTTCTTATCAACATTTGAATGCAAAATCTAGCTCACGAGCGTTTAATTCCTGAATGACAATTAAATATGAGTTCGTTTCTGCTCCCATTCGATTTAAAACAGCCTTTAAGGGGTAACATTTTCCTCATTTATGTCTAGTTGCTTTCTAGCTGCATTGCCAATTATTTCCTCCGCAATTAACATAAGCTTATAGAAGCCCTTCATTTCAGAATGTCTGCTCGGCATTTCATTTAATTCGTTTTCTTCGAAAATATAAATATTTCCACTTATATATTAAGTTTGCATTTGTTTGAAAGAGAAAATATTTCCGCTTGAGTGCAATTATAAACGTAACTAGTACTTATCGGTTACGGGGGAAAAGTCACGAATGTTTGCCAGAGCGCTTACAAGTGAAAACCTGTTTATTTCGGTTTACGACTAGGCTACAAAGTCGTTACAAGACAAGTAATGCCGTGATTTAAAGTCTATAAATCTGTTAACCAAATCTAAAATTCAACATATGCTGGTTTAGTGATTGATAATTCTCTCTTCAAGAAATACTCCATCTAATTTTAATGAATTTATTGAAATTCTCAAACAAAAATAATATAATCAAAAATCTCAATAGCGCCATTCAAGCTGCATCGAAAAAATTGAAAGAACGTATTATTTCACCACTGTTGCCACTTACTGTTTCTTATATCAATTCGATTCTACTACTACTGTTACTTCTGCTTCTACTATTTCCACTTCAGATGTAGAAAAAAGCGTCTGTTCAAACCGGAATAGAAGAGAAAAGGAATATCGATCCAACACTTTCACTCAAAGATTTTTCAGTTACTTTTTACTTTCTTATACGAAATAAAAGAAATATTGTAACCGAAAAAATTTCGGATATTAGATTTTAAATCGAAGTATTCGTTTTGACAGTTCCCAAATCAATTTCGATTATTTTATTGCGAGACATACATACATAGGGACAGAATAAAGAAATTTTTGTTTCAAGCCGGTTTGTAAAATGGGCTCAAAATGGCATTTTCCGTGACGTCTTTACGTAAGTACGTACGTATCACGCATACTCATTTCGTCAAGTTTTAATACTCGTTAGGAAAAAAATTATAAGAAGTTTGACTCCTGACGATAAAAATTGACAATTAATTCTAAAAATTTCAATTTTTGATGTCATTTTCAATTTCTCTTGAGGGATACATTAATGAAATACGAATAACTCAAATAAGCTTAAATGAAGAGTGACAGTATATATATATATATATATAATTTAATAGGCTGTACAAAGAAGTCATGTGATGTCCATATCAGATTTTTATTGAAGTTATAAGAAATCACATATTTCCTTGCGAGCGGTCATGGTATATCTGGTAACCGAAGTGGGGCTACAAGGAAAAATCGCTCCGTTGTTAGCAAAAGGCATCGCTATCAGAAAATATAATAGTTATTGAAATTTATTTACTCCTGGAATCACGAATAAGAAGACATCATTCAATTTAAATCAACAATTATGTTCAGCTTCATTTGGTGCATTTCTACTTAATACAGCAGAACATTATTAAACTTCAAATATGTAGTAATGTATTTTTAGAAACTGGAAATAAACTTTAATTAAATTATATAGAATAGTATTCTGTTGTCAGCATAAACTGAATGCTTTTCAAAATTTTAGATTGACATAAAGAATGAAGTATATTAGTAATTTAATTGATTAACGAATTTATTAATATACATAGATCCTTTGTATTCTAGGCTTCAACAAACATTATTCGAAAGATGGAGGCCAAATTCTTGATTACTGTAGATCATCACCTAGACATGGGAAAAGATTACAATCTGATGGACAATATACCTATTATAGCAAACAGTAAGTAAATTAAAATTAAAGGGGTTTCTCCTTATATTTATTCCAAACATACTATAATATATTATGCTAATTTTTCCTTCTTACGCTACCTGTACCTTCATGAACAGATTTGTTCTCAAAAAGCACCATGTAATGTAATTTTTGGAAATTAATTATTTCTAAAGCATACGTAACCGCACATAATGCCAAGATAATATGCTGGCAAAATTGAGTTGGTAAAATTTTTAGCATAAGAATGGAGCATTACTAAATACACGTAATACGCATAATGCGCAATTTTGCGGTACGTTTTGTAAATAAATTTGAAATTAATTTTGATTACAAACATTAATGTAAATGGGTCATGTTTGTGATATGTCATGTAGTGTAATTAAATATTTGAGTATGCTGCAACCCTCCTGGCCGATAATATTGTTCGCATGGTTAACGGAGCACACACAACAGAGATTAAAACAAAAATACTGTTAAAAACATCAAATCAAAATTCCCAATATTATTATATTGCCATTTATAAAGCTCATGAAATGCTTTGGAAATCTAAACTCTTTCCTACGGCAAGAGAATTTCTTTATTTTGCTATATTTTCCCCTAACATGTCGCAATAATACCCAGTCTTCGACGAAATGTCGTGCATTGCCTTCAACACTACAAAACCTACAGAGACTGTTATTTTGCAAATTGAATCTCTTCAGGTATGCCGGGAAGCACTCGTGTCCAGGAATTATTTGATTGTAATCTAAATCGCATATCATTCTTATATTTTTAGAAAATTCAAAGTTCAACGAATAGTCTTTTTTTCCGAAATCTTCTGTTGCTCTTTCCAGCAAACATAATAGAAATCCTTGATTTGATCAATAACAGATCTTTTAGATGCCTGAATTTCGAACGCGTACCCATCATAGCAGCCTCTCTGGCCAGCATGTCTTCCCTCTCGTTGCCTATAACACCAATATGGGCTTTCACTCAGTTAATTTTCACATTATGTATTTTCTCAACTTTTACAAGGAGATCTTTTATAGATGAGACCAAAATATTAGTGTTATTATCATCTGTTAGTACTTCCCAACCAGACAGTGAGTCTGTATGTATATTAATATATCTTTTTAAAGCCATGTTTTTATCAGTCCATTTAAGAGCAAATATGATAGCAGCGAATTCGGCTTGAAAACCGAATTGTAAGGTTCAAGTCTAATTTTGTCAAAGTCTATATTTACGCCAAGCAAATAAAGCAAATATGCTGCGTTAATTCCATTGTCACAACCCGAACCGTCAGTAAATATAACCAATTCTCCTACGCAAACATTAGGTCTCTAATATTCCATTGTTTTTCTTAATGCAGAATGTATATGGTTAATACTAAAGACAGGAGAACATGTAATAAGGTGCAGTAAAACCTCCGTAAGTAACTAAAATCAACATTTTGTGAACGTAATTTAAATTTATCATAATAAAAAGAATAAAATGCCAAGAAGGACAGCATACCGGCCAATATGCAAACGACTTCTTTCGACACTGTTTTAAAGCGCGCCAAGAGTGTGTTAGTTGGAACTACTCTGATATGCGCCCTCAAGTCGTCAAATTCCTTGTCAAACATTTTGGCGAGAAAATCCACGCTGCCATATTAGTATCTAAATTTTTTGTCTACATTTCGAACTTTAAGCCTAAAATGTCTCCACAACCACGGTTTTCGCACATGCAAAAACCACATTTTGAACGCACAATTTAAGCTAAAAATCCGAAACAAAAACAAAAAGTTTAGATAGCAAAAACGTAAAGTTTCTAACCAAAAATATTTGACAAGAATCCATGTACACAGCGATATGTTTTACTTAAAAACATTACGAATTGAAAAATATAGGCAGGATGAATCTACGATTACTACACCTCGCTTTAATAAATTACATGACAGAATAATTTCAAAGAATCCATGTACACAGCGTTCTGTTTCAAACTTAAAAAAAAACATCTACAAATTGCACAATTTCGGGCAACGAAAAATTACACTACACACACCTCGCTTTAATAAATAACATAACAACAATAAATTCCAATAATACCATGTACACGCGTTCTGTTTAAACTTTAAAAAACTCTACGAATTGCACATCTAGACACTACGCACTATCAACAAATAAACTAAAATAATTTTAAAATTAAAAACGACTAAATTCTTACTAAAAAAACAACATAACATTCTACAAAATTAGAACAAGAATAAAATAAAATGCACTTACCATGAATTAATGCATTTTCGAACAGTAGAAATACCAATTTCATACGCCTTTAAAATGCCGCCACGTAATCACTATCATATTTGTATGGCAGCCAGACACAGTATCTTCTATCATGCACAGCCACTAAAAATAATCTCCCAGACCTTCTTTCCACTTCTACAAACACCCATTGCTCCTCAATAGGATGGCCATAATGATATTTCCTGTTGCCGAACTTCAATTAAACAACTTCCATGATTTTATCTTTTCCCCTATATTCTCAGACACCAACGTGCTCCAAAGAAAGTTTTTTCAACGTCAAAAGGGTTGCCATACAACACACAATCGCGCCAAAAACCAGCGCAGCAGAACACATATCGCCACATTTAGTGAAATTAGGGCGTATATTAGAGTTGTACCACTTATACATGTCACATTCATGTACACTCACACAGAATAGATTACTTGTAAGACCTGTCAGTGTGGCTATCACTAGAACAGAGAATAGGCAAAAACTAGACCTGCCCTAGTCACAATCTCTAACACTGCGGTGAGAACACGTATCATTTTAATTCCTTTGTCATTTAGCTTTCAGCCTATTCAATTTATATATTAAAGTATATAAAAATTTAAAGGTTATGAAACTTACTTTAAAGAAAGTAATGAAAATGTTATTTGTAATTATCTTAAAATGCGTAGTATATGTGTAGTCATGTAATAATCATGTATTTTGTTTGGAAATTTTAGGTTGCCCTTCACTGGAGAAGATAATTATCATTCCTTCAAAAAATGAAACAAAAACCAAAGGAATATCGCATATTAGGAACAGGTGAGCCTTCCATGATTTTATGTATCTTTCTTCATTTTGCTAATGATTTATTCTGTAATTTATTGCATACTATTTTTTCTAATTCGAAGAATTAAACATTTACGTGCTCAGTGATCATAGGAAAGCTCAGAAAAATTACGCAACCGAATTTCCTTGCGCATTGCCCACCCCCACCCTTTTCTTGCTAATTTTGTCGCCCGAAAATATAGAGGGGAACATTATGTGAATAATTTAGTTTCCGATGGACACTGTTACAGTAAGAGCACAACAAATGAAAAGTAATTATGGATAAACTACATTAAACTATCATAACATTATTTCTTAAAAAAAAACCGATATTTTGTGGAGAGAGCATAGTAATATTAATATAACAGTATTTAGCAATATGTCTTCACTTCTACTTCGCAGTAACTTGAATCTTGGATGCTCTTATTGTTGTCTCTGCTACTTCTTTGGCCTCCTATCATCTGCAAAAAATTAGGAAACTGGAATGTGCAGTCGACTCGATGAAATTGTAGATTGAATATCGGTTGATGTTTGCTTCACTGTGATAGGTCGGATCACATTGTTGTGTTCTACGGGTTTGTAGATTTGGAGTAATTGATGACAATACTTGATAAAGAATCAAAACACAATTTATTCCCCATTTTTACACTTTACGGTTCCAAAGATACTTTTACAATAGTCGAAAAACTACAATAAACGCTCTGAAACAATCAGCAACACAGCTTTCAGGCTATAACGGTGCAAACAGCTTCACGGCAAAGCAATAAAGCACAGCTGCCGACTAGATCGATCGTTCAAGCTAATCTTTGAATAAAAAAAACCTGTACGAGGAGTAGTACCTTGCCTGCACTACTCCTCGTACAGGCAGGGTATGTATTGCCTTAACCTACCTTCGAGAATATTCCCAAGAAAACCGTTAAGAATGCATTCTAGAATGTTCTCGCTCCGTCTATGGCTTATTGCTAATTTTGTCTCCAAATGGGAGGTTTCGCACCAAATATGGCAACCCTGCCTTTCCCTGTCACTTTCCAGCAAACCTAATCCCGCTCGCAGCTAAGCATTTGGAAACAATATATTATGCTGGCATAAACTTCTATATTTAGAAAATATAGAATTATATATAGAACTTTCTATATTTCTATATTTAGAAGGCAAAACTTCGACGTGACCTTCGCAGATAGTTTGTGAGGTTTTTTCTTTGTTAGTAAGGCGGAAACAGTCCTACATAGATGAATTTAGGAAAAATTTAGGAAAGCTCCTGTTTTGAATGCAATGAAGGGGGAAAATATGCAAATATATATATACTATATATGTTTAACTTTCAGAACGTGGTGTTAATCGCTTGGGAAAAAACACTCAAAGTGTAAAATTACGCAAGGAAACAGTATCAAAAATACTTTGCATGGTTTTAATAAGATCCAATATTTTTAACATTTAAAAGTCAATGCTCCGATGCTTGATCGGAAAACTAGATCAATTAGAATTTGTTTAAATCGAAAGCAGATTGTTTCTATTGAGATAAATATTAATTACTACTTGTATTATAATTTCAGTTACTTCCTAGAGGATTTTTTGAATAGCGGACGGAATCCAGATGGTACTGTTCCGGACATCATTTTCGAACAGCTCCCTTTCAATCATCCCATATTCGTCAACTTCACTTCCGGTACAACAGGCCTTCCTAAAGGTCCAGTACATTCAGCAGGGGTAACATTTATAATTTTTTTACACAGAAAATTTTATAAACTTTATTTACTACTTTGCATTTGTTTTTACCTTATATACACATTTGTATAAATATATTAAAAAGTTAAATTTTGTCGTACTAGAGAAATAAATTCATTAATAGAAGGTTTTCTAATAAGAATGCTACGATTTTAAAAGGGAATAAAATAAAAACTATTTCAGGTACAACTAAATATTTTATATTACTTTGGAGTAAAACTCATGGCATTAAAAACATAGCACCTTAATAAAATAACATTTAAGTGTCCACCTCGACATAGTACACATGAACGAATTCGATGAACCTAATTTTGAGTGACTATACACAATAACTAGGGCCTAATATTACGAATGCAAGGCTCTATATTTATTCTTCATACTTCAAGGGTTCGTGGTTCATTCGCATTGCTCGTTGATTTGAAATAATCCCTTATAATCATCGGAAAAAGTTAAACCAAAACTTCTGGGTGGCTAAAGTTGCATTCTGTGAAATTATACTTTCACAATTTTTTTTGACAGTACATTGATAGTGGCGTTAGCACTGTGATATGTTTCATCGTTCTGTTTATATAACGTCTTCTAAGTTTGGCCGCATAAAATTTATATTCATCACTCACTGTAACTGCATCTCCTCCCTTGTTTTGGCGGAAAACATGTGGTCCAAGACGGCACTTCCAAGACTTTCACACCAAACACGGATCTACAGCAGAAAGGATCTACAGCTAACAAGATAACATTTTTCTCAAAATACTATTCTTGAAAAATGTATTTAGTCATGATGAACTGTATGCTAAACAAAAATAAAAATTAGCGACAATGTAGGAGTCTGCTTGTACAGGATTTTAACTTTATGTCCTTCAGATTCTACTAGACTTATTTTCTCTCTTTTTCTAGCATTGCCTTCGTGGTGTAATCGTAGCACACTCAGGACGTATTCGAGAGATCCAGGTTCGAGGCCCGTTGAGGGCATTGAACATTTTTCACTTCTCCTGTTTCAAAATAACCTAATGACTCTACAAATAGCGTCCGAAGTAAAGGGTGGTGGAAAATAATTCGTCACCACTAGGAGTTAGCGATTGGGTCCTCTAATCCCCAGTCGCGGTTTAAAAGGAGGACTGTATGAGGTAGTTTCTCCCTCCTTCTAGTATGTCTTATTGGTGTAGTGGTAGTACACTCGGCGCGCATGCGAAAAGTCCAGGTTCGAATCCCGACGACAGCATTCCACATTTTTCGCGTCTCCTGTTTTAGAATAAAATAATGACTCTGCATACTGACAAGCAAATTAGCGATTTCGGCAGATTATTAGGAATGTTAAAATAACTTTTTTGTATTAACTCATGAAATTTAACTGAAGCAATTTCGTCACTTGTGGCTATTATTAACTTTTGAATTTTAACTGAAGCCAGTACTTGTGCCATAGAATGAAATTCCGTCACTTGCGATTATTTAAGATGACATAAATTGAAATGTAAATTTAAGTAAAGTAGCTGGAGACCACGCAATGTGATCTATTTAAGTTGTCTCAATTATCTAAAAGCGTGTATTAAATTCGACTAGCAAAATGGCTAAAGCCGAAATAAACTTTGGCAGAGCTAGAGATAGGATGCAAACTGCATGATCAATGTCTTCAATTTATAAATTATTACATTTGTTAATAAATTTATTACATTTGTTGTGCTAAAAGAATCTGTACACAAGTAATGTGTAAATCTTCAAAGTCTCAAAGCATGTTATTTATACTCCCATGAAGTTTCCATGAAGTCCCATGAAGTAATAATCATATAAAAAATACATTAATGTACAAATATTTTACTTTTAACAAATGCAAATAATATTACTAATTGCGTTCGTGTCCAAACTGAAGCCTGCTAGTGTTTCTTAGAACAGCAATTCTATGGGATTCTGAGAATAAGATCTCTATTTTGGGGG